TCCTCGCCACTCTCGGCTAACACTTTCCCCACCGCTCGCTCGCTCTCTCTCTCAACCTCCAATCCTGGTCTTGCCAGAGCAAGAAATCAATGCAGGGGAATCCGCTCACTTTCCAAACAGTAGGCCACCAACTCAGAAACGAGATGAGGAGGGTGTGGGATGAGGACCCGGGAGGAGAAACAGATCAAGGGGATACTGAGGGGGTTTGAGGGTTAAGCAGGGGAGGAAAATACCAGGCAGATAAAAGCGGGTCCCTATTGGGTCCCCAACCATCTACAAATGGACTCTTAAACGCCAATGGTGATGCAGGTCATGCTCACCTACAAGTCCAGGGCAGGTGTCAGGGCAGACACAGATGGCACGACCTTTGCCTTCTCATCCCTAATAATTATTGCAGCGGAGCCCCCTTGCCCATGCGGAGAAGGCTGGGCCGGGGCAGAAGAAGGTGGCGGGGGCAGGTTGGCTCAGCGCCCCCTCAGACGGGGGACGGAGGAGGTGAATTTGGCACGTTGAACCCCTTCTTCTCGTAAGTGCTTGAGGTCCTTCTCCGCCATCCAGTTGGCACCATCCTTTGGGCCAGCAGAGGAAGGGCTGAGTTTGTCTCCGCTCTCCCCCAATTTCTACAGCTTTGCCCCAAGGAGGCAAGTGGGGGTTCTCCCTGGCTGGTGGCATTTGGGGGATTCAAAAGGTTAGGGGTCGGCTGAATGGAGAATTTTTTTTCTTTCTTTTTTTTTTCTTTTCTTACAAAGATTCTAAGAAAAACTCAGGGTGGGAGGGGTGAGGAAGGGGGACCCAATTTAGCTAAGTGTCCATAGACTTTTTCAATGCCTCCTAGGGGCCTCCTCCAAGATCAATGGTCCCGTTTCCTGCCCCCTAGCTGAGGTTCCCTCCCCCCCAGAGCGGCTCAGTTCTAAGGAAGTTTGGCACTTTTTTTTTTTTTTTAATCAGTGGGGAAATTGGGCAGGAGTTGAGAGAGTTGAGAGGAGAAGGGGAAATCAGACGTCGTCGACAAAAGATAGAGACGGGACAGATGACATTGGGAACCACAGGGAGAGGAAGTAGAAAGCCATAGGGAGTCAGAAAGAAAGAGAGAGGGAAATGCTGGGGGGTGAAGGGGGGAATGTTGGGAGTCGGAGGGCAAATGGGAAAGGAATAGGGAGACAATTCAATGCAGCAAACACTTATTAAGCACCAAGTGGGTGCTGAGGAGCAGGGCGCGAGGAAGCCACTCAGCGTCTCTGAGACCTGACCGGCTAACAGGGAGAGAGGGGGAGGAAAGAGGCGATGGGTTTGTCGATGATCCCCATTTCTGATTCCACGCCCGCGTCCCCTCTGGACAAGCCGCAGCACAAAAGATTGAGGTCAGATTGCAGAAGGGACTTTCAGGAGAGGCGGAAGATGGTAGAGTGCATTTCCCAGGGTGACAGGGAGAAAGGCGGGTGGTTCTTCGCTCTCCAGCAGGGCGAGTAAACCAGCTCACTCACTGAGCTAGCAAGCTACCTTCCAGATAACCCTGGCTGGCTGGCGGGCTGGGGGGGGGGTCCCCGGGAAATGTGAATAGGGAGAGGGTTGTCACACAGATATCCCAAAGGAACACTTTCCAGGAGGCCCAGCCTCCAGAGACGTGTCTGTGTGACAGGATACTGGACCCCCAGAAATGGGTACAGAAAACATCTGACAAGCAGAGGGCAGCTGAGGATGCAAACGATATGCAAATGAGCACTTTCAAACCCCACCTCCCCACTCCCAGACCTTACTGTTACCTCTCCCTGGCTCCTCCCTCCTCCTGGGGGCCTGGGGATGGGAGCTGTAGGGGGGATATTCCAGTTAGACACTGCAATGCCCACATGTGGGTGGAGTTACTGTGAAATACTGTAAAGTCTTTTTGACAGGCGGAGAGGAGCAATGGCCCCCAGGGCCGCCTCCACCTCCAATCTCAGGAGCACCCCCTTGCAGAAGATATGTACAAAGTTACATCAAGAATTGTTTTGGCACTCAGATCTCCATCGGGGTTCAGTCTGGAGATTGGGGGTGGGCGGGGGGGAGGTGGGGCCCGCCCTCCACCCTGGAGATGGAGAGGGCCTGGAAAAGGTAACCCTAGTGCCCAAGCTACAGCCTCCCATCAGGTGGAAGGGCCAGGGTGGGAAATTCAGTGCAAGGTACCTTGAAGGCTATTGCTTTCTAGGGATTTTTCACATTTTGATTTGGGGGTGGCTCTCTAGCAAGGGGCAGTGGTCTCCTGGGCTTTAGGGGGGCGGGGAATTGTCTCGGGCTTTTCTTCCCTCCTTTTTGGGGAGAGAGAGACGAGGAGGCCGGATTCCCTCAAAGCCACGGAGAAGAGAAGGGTCTGGAAGACCTAGGAGGGGACAAATGGGGGAGAGGGTGGGCATGGGGTGCCCCTCCCCCAGAGATGCTGATGATGGAACCAGGGCCCTGGGGGCCCTGCTTGGGGTTGGAGGAAGTGGAGGTGGTCTCCGAGCGGGAGGGGGAGATGGATGGGGATAGAAGGGGGTCTCAGCTATCCTAAGTATACAGGGTTGTCAGGTCCTGAAATCTCAGCCTGCCAACAAGGCCTTCCATCTGACCATAGCTGCAGAGCTCAGGGAGCCACTCCCACACCAACTCTCAGGGCTGCCTGGCTTGGCAGAGGCCATCAGAACATTCTAGCTCCTCAGAGCCTATGGTGAGAGCGTCAAAACTTTCCGACTCATCAGATACCACCAAAGTGCTCCAGCTCGCTGGACACCACAAGCCAATCTCACTCACTAGGCCACACGAAGCCTTCTGGCCTAGGGCCCCTACCATGGCTCACTGACCTCGACAGCGGGCCACGCCGGCCTGACAGAGCCACCACACACGTGGCTCACCAGACTCAATGACACAAAGCCACGCAGACACGAGCATGCACACACAAGGTGGGGGGTAGGGATGGGGGTCTTTGACAGGCGTTTTCACTAGCTCCATCTCCCGCCCCTCCCTGCCCCGTGAGTTCACAGACTTGGTGTGTTTGGATGGAGGCGACCCTGACAATATTGGGTCTTTTTTCCTTGGAGTCCTTCAGGTCAGATCCAAGTCCCACCCCTTATTCTCCTCCTAGGAAGACCCCCAGGCCAAGACCCACCACAGAGGGGCGAGGGCGGAGAAAGAGGGTCAGTGACTAACTGGCCATGGCCCAACACAGGAAGTGCATGCTTCGTCCCCGTGACATCACAGGAAGTACCCCGGAAACACCACAGGCAGTCCATGCCCCCAGGATATCATGAAAGTAACCTTCAAGGAAGGCTCACAGGAGACGTCATAGCAAGTACCTATCTCTCCTAGCATCACGGGAAGTGACCTCTGGGGAGCTACTTCCTGTGACATCACAAGGAATGCCGGAAGCACCCCAGAAAGTACTTGACTCAGTGACATCACAACAGGGACTTCTGTTCCTATTACTTTAGGAAAAGCCATAGGAGATGCCATAGGCAGTGGCTCCAGCCTTTCACAAGGGTCTCGCCCACTGGACCGGCCCAGTCTGAGAGCCGGCCTCATTCCCAGCAGCACAGGCCACCCCCCACCCCCCATAAACCTGACAACAAAAAGTTAAAAGCCCCACCTCGGAGGGGTGACTGCAGTGGGGGGAGAGTAGCTGAGGAACTGGGGTTCCTGCTGCAAACGCCCCATTTCAGCTACCTCTCCTCCCACTGCATCCCTCGAGCTGGACCTGAAAGCAGGAGAGGTGGGTGTGGTTTTGGGGAGGCCCCTCATTCTAGGTCACCCAGAGGCTCCCTCCCCTCTTCCCATATGGAAACAAAAACATATATATCAAGGGGGGGAAACAAAATCCTTACCGGAAAAAAAAGGAGGGAAAGAAAGAGAAAATAACGCTTTGTTTTCTATTAAAATCAACAAAATGCAATATATACAGATATCACACAGACCTGGGCCCTGGGGGAGGGGAGTCCGGCCCAGCCAAGCGTAGGAAGGGAGGAAGGAAGGAAGGAGGGGTCAGTTCAGGGCCAGGGAGGGAGCTGTGGGCTCCATCCCCAGCCATCTCTCAATCCTGCCTATGAACTACCAGAAGGGAGGGGGGTGCAGTCAGACCAACCCCAGCCCCAATCCCAGGAGGAGCAGGACCACACCGAGCTGAGGTCAAGAGTTGGGGAGGAGAAGGAGGAAGAGGAGGAGGAGGAAGAGGAGGAGGAGGAGGGAGAGGAGGAGGAGGAGGCATAGGGAGAAGGGTGGGAGCACACACCACAGGCCTCATCCCACTTTCTGGGGGTTTGAGGCCCTCACTCCCTGCTCGTAGGTGACCCGCTGGCTGATGAGGTATTGAGCGGCTTGCGTGGCCGCGGGGCTGCCGGTGATGGTGACCCGCCGGTTCCGCGTGCCTGGCAGGAACTCGCCCTTTTTAGAGATCTGGATTCGGGCGCCTGTCAGCTCCTGGTACTCCACCAACGTCTTGCCCCCCTTGCCCAGGATGGCTCCCACCAGGTTCTCAGGCACCGCGATCTCCACCAGCTCCTTGGCACTCTCAGCTGCCAACTTCTCTGCTGTCAGGAAGCCACCAGCCGCCCCCGCGGCCG